TCTGTTGATTGTAGTATTGGACGCACCCACATACTACGGTGTCTTCTACGCCTACGCTTGCGGAATAGTAGTACAAGTAGCAGTGTTTCTTCATCGAAATCCATCTTGTAAATGAACTCGCATCAGTATTATTTTGCGGTCGAACACAACTGCTCCAAGCAGTCGAAGTCGACTGCATTATGCGGTCCGTCTATGGCCAGCTTTAGTGGCGTTGTCTTTAATTTGTTACTACTCTGTTACGTTAGCTATAGTAGTTAGGTTTTGTACGTTACTATTACGTACGGTGCTAGTCTTTCAAGGTCTCTACACCAGCGTCACAGACTAAGAAAAAGCTATCTAAATAAAAACCTATTTCCTAAGTACGTCATCATATCTAACCCGTGTTGACCTTCACCACAATTCTAATTGCTTGTTAGTAATACTAAACCCATGCAAAATTCAGTGATTTCATCATCACTTTTAAAAAGGCACTGCTACTCAAATTTCTGCATATATTGTTTTCTATTTACCCTACTAGTTTAAATAGCATTTATTCTATATTCACAGTCATAGGTGAAATTAGGTTTTTTTTTTCAGTGGGGACGTAATAAATTTTTTTGGGAACCAGCCAGACATCCTGTCCACTGATCCTGACCACGCACCCCCGATACACAACATCGGTCTATGAGTAATGCCCGGACTGGTCACCTCATTGACTAGGTGCTCGATGAAACAAACTTTAGAAATTGTTCTGCCCCGTGCCTTCCTAACAATCGTATTTTGTGATTTTATTCGAAAGCATTGGAAGTCCTCTAGAAATAATAATTATGTCTGATTTCTGTCCAATCTAATGTAAATTTGTTACATAAGATAATAATCATTTAGTTTAAAATCATTGTACGTTCTTACTTCGTGGCGCGACGCGGTTCTGACGAGCCTCCACGTCGGCGTCACGCCACCATTACCCTCCCCCCGGCACCTCACACCCGTTCACACCTGCATAGAAATATACACCGTATGCCGTGTTGTTAGCGTTTAAACTTCCTTAACAAGCGATCTGCTAACAGACGGCACTCTATTTAATTTCAGTCGCCGTCCTCCTTCCGCGTAGTGAGCTTGTGTCTCGGGTAACATTTAGTTATTAATAATGCAATTTTAAGTACGTGTTATAAGTGTAATATTAAAGATGTCTCTAACAATGACAACAACGCTTAGGAACGGCCATTGTAATGGCAAACTTGAGACAAATATATCTTGTAAGAAAAACGGAACTGTTACAGACTTTAAATCGGTGAGTAACCTTAAAATTTGTTACCGGTTTTGTATGATTAGAAAGATGACCTTAGTTTTGGTATCAATGTTTGGATTAATATGTATGTTATTTGCACGTTTTTTTTTATTTTTACTAGACGACCCGGTGAACTTCGTATCACCTACATATTATATTTGTGTCAGAACTTAATACAATTTTTTTAAAATAAACCAAAGAGTTCGGACTTCATACTGCATCTACGAAATACAACTTTTCGTAAACATCTGTAAATGACTATAGACAACTAAGTGACTAATTTTTATTTCTATAAAGACAGACAAATATTTCCCAACTAGGAACAGTTTTATTTGAAAATTTACTTTACTTATTATTTATGTTTCCCGCCGTTTAAACCTTCCCTGACCTTCCACAAATATTTAAAGATCATAATTAGCCAAATCGGTCCAGCCATTCTCGAGTTTTAGCGAGACGAACGAAAAGCTATTTATTTTTATTATATAGATAGAAGATTTAAATAGATTCTAAAACTAATGTGCCATAAAAAGCAACTACCGCAACAATCCCATTTTATTACAATTGGTTTTTTTTGTCGTACAATTGGTCGTATTTTTTAGTTTCTATATACATAATAATATATATTTATAAGAAAAGTGTCGAACTTTATCGTTGTAGACTAGCTGTTATATATCATATAGAAAAAAAATCCAATTTAAACCAGTAATTCTTGATATTAATAAAGTCTTTTAATTTATTTCGCCGGTTGCGGAAATTTAATATTTTGTTCTATACTGAACTTCGTCTAATTGAATATATAAAAGGTGTAGAAAAAGTGAAAGCTAAAGTAAAGAAAGTGTAGGCTACGGAAATGCATAGGTCATCATATATCTCTGCATTATCAATTTTGGCTTTGGTAACATCGTAATTTTTATGTTAAGACATTTTACGAAAAAGGGCTTTTAAGTTAAGATGAAAAGACTACTTAAAGTAAGACTATCTATACTATTTTAAGGAAAGGAGGAAAGATAGTACATATAACATTCTTGTTTCTGATAATGACCAATAGGTCGACTACACTTATATTCTTTACTAGTAGACTCGGCCAAGCGTTGATGTGGCTAAGATTTTTGTTATATTACGTAATACGTAGTAGTAAACTATTCAAGAGAAACGGCAGGAGAACACAAATCCACCATGCTTTTTTGGTGGTTATGCCATTAAATTGTAGCTTATGTAAAACGTTGGTAATTATTTTGATAAGGATCAATACCTAGGTACGAATAAAGAGCCTTTTCTAGCGGTGGTATTTTAATAAACAAAATTTATAAAAGGACGCTTATTGTGACGTAACTATAAAAGATAGAGCCATGCTGTCGCGACATTTTTTATAGATAGTGATGTGTCCTGAAAAATTGTAATACATCATTTGGTTCTATCATTAATAGTTTTCCCAGCGCACGCGATCGAAGGAAGTTTTTTGTTTATTTTTTTTCACCTTGGGTTAGATTATTCAAGTTTTAGTAAGCATCCCTAATTTTTTTGAAAATGAAACCATAGCCTTTGTCACTCGGGAATAGTGTAGCTTGCCAACGGCGAAAGAATTTTTGAAATCGGTCCAGTAGTTTCGGAGCCTATTCATTTCAAACAAACAAAAAATCAAATCTTTCCTCTTTATAATATTAGTATAGATAGGTAACAAAAGTGTCACTTAAATTTAAGAACCCTTAAATAACTCAAGTTAGTTTGTTGTTAGCGTCGCAACCCTACTACCCCTAAATTTATGTTATAAGCCCTTGTGTTAAGCGATTAAAGACATTTAACACCTAGTTTCAAACAAGTTAATTTATTTGAACATCCCTCCAAAATCCGCCTCCGAACTTAAACTAAAGATTTTCGACTCATCACCGGAATGACTTAAATGGACAAAGGTACAGAAGAAATTTGCCGTGAATAATGCGATGTTAAATATAATTAATAAGTTCTTAATAGTAATATAAAGCATTTTTTTCGATATCCTTAAGGACCTATCTGGTCGCCAAACTCCAAAAAATTACATTGTTTCTTTCCATTTTTCTCCATCGTTTCTTAGAGTAGGGCGAATGGAAAAAATATGATGGAGTTGAGTAGTTTATGTATCCATTTTGAAAGATCGATACACGATTTAAATAACTTCGCTCGATAGAAAAATAATCCAAATATAGCCAATTTTTGACACTATGTATTCATTTTATGTCGAAAATGTATATAGTATATGATTTTGAAATTTACACAATATATTTTATCGCAAGCCAAGTAATCCATTTCAGAAAAATTGATAAAATTACATTAATTTAATGTTTTACATAACTAATTATTATTACGGGCCGGCGCGCCTCAGTGCTCCAGCTCTCCACGGCGCCCCGCAGTCCACGTCGAGACACTGACACTGGGATAGGGCCTTAATTTCAATTTCAAATGTTTAAGTTTTTACTTATAGCTAAATGTTAGTCGCCAGTGGATACGGACCCCTCATGGGTAAAGGTGAAACCCTTACTCTATGGCTTTATCTTTGCTAATACTCTACCAGTATTATCCTGCTGTGTCTATCAAGTCATCAGCCTACCTTTTTTTGGCCTGCCCACTCTTCTTTTTACATTTACTTCCATTTCGCAAGTCAAAGGCGTAGAGCGGGAAAGAAGAACTGGCAAGAAACTCTCAGCCACTATTTTTAATCGCTAAGTTTTGGAGCGATTGTGGTTGAACTGGAACTAATCAATCTCTTACGGCTAAGTCTGACTTCTATATTTTATAACATATCTTAAAAGCAGTGTTGACCTTCAGCTCATTTCTGAGGTCTTAGGTTCGACCTCCGGCCGTACACTGGAATGGACTTTCTGTCTATGTGAAGGAAAACATCGTGAGGAAACTAGCATGTCTCTGTCAGAAAGCTGATCACCTACTTGTCTATGAAATAAAATCTGAAGCCAAGGCTTCGTTCATTGAGAGTTATAGCGCCACTGTATTATTATTATAACATCTTAAGGGTGAAAAGTATTTGGGTACATTATATCCAATTAAAAAAAATATAAGCTCAGAAGTAAAATGTTTTAAATATTATGTGTTAATTGTTTTAAATTTTGATTTTTGTGAATTTGTTACTTGGTTATATCATTATTCGATGTGTAAAGTTTTGTTAATAAACTAACAGATAAATGCGTGTTTGAACCCATCTCGTAATAGCGTTTTTTAGATAAACAAAAATGAATCGCTATAGTTTGATAAGCTCAAAACTCGAACGAATTCGAGTATTTTTTTTATTGATTGGTTGAAGGAGGAAGGTTTTATCGAAAAATTACACGGAAAAATCTTAAAACAAGTTTTTCCCGGAAAAGCGAGCAGTCTGTGGGGTGGCAAAGGAAAATGTTCTATACGTTTGTATTTAAATAAAAAAGTAGGATAAGTAAAAAAAATCTTTTTGAGACGAAACGAAGTTCGTGGTTAGCTTTGATAAATCTTGATATGATTTCTTTGATTGAGTTTTAAAAAAATTTATACGTTAGTAAAGTTTTCGTCGCTGGAATATCTTATTGGATAAAGGCATTTCAATAATTTGCCGTGAATAATACGATATTAAATACAATTAATAAGTTAATTGTATGCGTAGCGCTAAGTATGATCCGTAAGTAAAAATTTGAACTTGACTAAGTATGGATTCTAAATCTTAAGCGTTTGAACCGGATTCGGTTTTGGTACATGACCTGGTCAGCTGATTATGGTCATAGATAACCCCGACATCCATTCATTCGTTATCGCTATTTATGAATATTTAGTAACAATAATGTCTATAACAACACTTAGAATTAAGTGCCCATCGACCAGTACAACACCAGGAGGCCTGGAAGTGCATTGCCGGACGGCATACGGCTACTTGAAGGCCCCTGAGGTTAGAATGGCAGCCGGTTACAAAAAGTGGGGGAGGCAAGAAGAGTCGTAGAACGTCAAACATACTTCTATATATCTCTGGAGATATACAAGTGTGCCTAGGTACTCTTATAGTGCTCTTTCTATTCCTTCAACATTAACGAAGGAATTATAATAAATGGAGATAAAGAGTCTGCAATGATTATCTATACTTCTATACTAATATTATAAAGAGGAAATATTTGTATTTCTCTTTTTCGTTTGTTGTACCTTGGGCACCAGTTCTAGAAGGTTCTACTTCTTGCTCTACTTTTCTGTTCCTCTTGCCATGTGCCCCGCCCATTTCCACTAAGTTTATTTTTTTGTAAGTATGTTTGTAACGAATTGGATCAAAAAGTACTGGACCGATTTTAACAATTCTTACACCGTTTGAATGCTACATTATCACTGATTGATATAGGAAAAAAATAAGGATCCCTACTAAAACTACAATAATGTTACCCAAGGTGTAAAAATGCCTATAAAATATCTTTCATCGCAAGCGCTTACAATTCCACAATATTAAAAAACATATCAATATTAAAAAAATGTTTAAAAAATAAATGTCCACCCGTGCGAAGCCGGGACGGCCCGCTAGTCTTTAATAATGTGTTTAAACCGGTCGTTCGTGAACTTTGATTGCTGTTACATAACTTTTGCGTCAAAATTAATATTGTATTATCGATATTTACTTCGATAGGAAATGGAAGAACATGGTGGTACAAGGAGCAAGCATATTATTATGTTAATTGGTTTTGAATAAGTTTGTAGGGGGTGATTCATAGTCGAGACATACCGCTAAAACGACTCCCACACGTCAGAAACGTATTTAATTTGATATATTAGAATCTTACCTTTATTTCTAATAATAATAAATATAAAAAAATTTGTGGCGACCCGCCGTCGACTTTTTGGGTCTAAGGCAAGCCAGTTTCGTAACGATGTTTTCCTTTACCGCTCGAACTGTTATACGGAATTTATAAGGGATCTTTAAAACAAAAGATTAATAATTTAATTTCAATATAGGTATATTAACTGAGATTATAATTCACAAAGAAATTAGAACAAAATAAGAGCACTTCTGCTCGGATAAGAGTGATGAGATCGACTGACTTCAGGGGAATGTAAGGTTGTTGATGCATGGGAAGAAATGATGACGAGGATATAGCACAGGCTATGCCAGCAATATAGGATACATTGAAGAGTTGTAACAGAACGAATGTTAAATGCGCACATGAAAAGATAGTCCATCGGTGCACAGCCGGGGATCGAACCTACGATCTCAGGTATGAGAATCTCAAGCTGAAGCTATTTATAATTTTGAAGCAAATACAGCAGTCTTCAGTATCAAACATTGTCTTAGTTATCTTCTTCTTCAGGTGCCACTTTATTTCTAAAGGTTGTTAACAACTTGAATAGCCGGGTACCTGCGCTAGTATAAACAGTCCTCGGAAGATGTGATGCCACTCCCGAAGGTTCCGCAACCACGACTCCTTCCTTCTACAAGCCCGTGTCTTGTCTTTTGCCCATGTGCTGCGACAAGTCGTATTGATGTGTCCGAGATATGCGACTTTCCCTATTTTCAGTCTGCATAAACTTACGTCGACCGAGTTAATCACCAAGCAAAGGTAGCTAAAAACAAGCTAAATCGATTGCGCGGAAGGCTTGCAAGTATTATGTCGCCATTATTGCTAAATTATTGAAATATTCATAGATATATGATGTATATGTTTTATATTGCCTACCATTGTTCAGTGTTGAGGTCATATGATATGCAATATTACTGGTATTATTTACATATGTATGCAATACTTTTTTCCAACATGTTCTAATTACACGTACTATTCAATTGATATTCTGACTTTTGAAGTTGAAACACGAGAACGTGTTTTATATTTGCTGTAATAAATAGCCTTTTTTCAGATACTTTTACACTTAAACATATTTATAATTTCCCCGTTCTAGACTATCTAAAGTTGGTAATTCCTTTTTGGTAAAAGGCATACTCTTCTTTAATAAAATCCCAGAGGCTCTTTTATCTCTGCCTTTCAATCAATTTAGGAAATGTATTAAAGAAAAGCTATAATATATATTATAACGATTATCTAGTTGATAAAAAGGCCTGTGACTAGTGCTAGACAGGCTACTTCTAATTAATTTGCGATATTTGTTTGAAAATAAATGTTGTTTGATGATTTGTTATTTTAAAAGAGAGGCTTTTTCTCTCGCCTACACCCTCGTGTCTTCTTTGCCGATGAGTAGGGATGTCTACCAATACATATTTAATGACGTGTAATAAGTGATACGTGCATCTTATGTTCCATAATAAACATATTTTTATTTTTTATTTCTGTCTCATTTTTAGGTATCTGTGTGCCCTTTGGCCTCCTTCAAATCCCGCCATTATTGTGGGTGTGCCACTCTCTGCCATATAGCATTTGTTATTTGGTCTATTCACCTTCTAAATTGTCTTTTTCTTTTTTATTTGTTGTACCTTGGGCACCTTAGTTTAGTCTTCCTTGCTCCACTTTTCTTTTCCTCTTGCCATGTACCCCTCCAATTTCCACTTAATTTTTATTGTAGCTTCGTTGTTTTTCTTAAAGATGTATTCTTTATTTTATCTATTTTCTTTTCCATCATTATATTTGCTTTAATTACGACTAAATAATCATCTGTATTTTGTATATGATTACCATTCTGTACAATGAATTTAAAAGTAATTAATTTCGCATTTTACCATTTTCATAAGAAAGTTTTTTGGTTGATATTATAGTAATTTTATATTGTTATTCCTTATTTATGACTAAAATTATTTTTTTCTAAAAATATTGAAAGAAACAAATATATATTTATTTATTAAAGTCACCACATCAAATTTACATATATACAAAGTAAATTTATCATATGACACATGGCCAGACGCATCAGGCCACCTTCTTATCAATGGCTGAACCTTGACACGTAGTAATCATATTAAGAGCTCTGCCGGTCGAATATGGATCTGTCATGCTCATCCCCCAGAATAGAAAATGTAAGCGGAGTCGAGACTTGAGAATGAGTATGTCAAAAATGACGATTCGACTCTCTTACTCTAACATTTGCAGCACAAAGATATAAAAAATAAAATATGTTTATTTTGGATCATAAGATATTATTATTCCACGTCATTAAATTTGAATTGGTAGACATGCCTACTCATCCGCAAAGAAGACAGAGGGTGTAGGCCGAGTGAAAAAGCCGGCGTAAAAAGCTCTCGGTACTCTTTTAAAATAGCAGATCATCAAACAACACTGCTTTGAAACAAATATCGCAAATTAATTAGAAGTAGCCTGTCTAGCACTAGGTCCAGGCCATATTTTTATCAACTAGATAATCGTTAACTTTATAGTAAGTCTTTTTTCACAGCTTTTCTTTAATACATTTCTTAAATTTATTAAAAGGCAGAGATAAAAGAGCCTCTGGGATTTATTAAAGAAAAGTATCACTTTTCCCAAAAAAGAATTACTTTAAGCAAGCAAGTTAATAAGCCATGTTAGGTTTAATTTTTTCAAAAATATTGTTATTGTTCTTGGTCACTTATTTTTAATCTCCGCCGTATGTTTAAAAACAAGTGTATGATCCATGAACGAATGCTGTACTAAAATTGATTATTATTAAGAGGATGACTTGTATTTTTGTATCTTTGTAGGGAATATACTCGCAAGACACTGGACCTATATGAAAAATTATTTCACGATTAAAAATGTACCAAAATATTTTTAAAATATAGCATTGCGCTAGTATATAATATAATATATCACCTCGATGTCCGTCGTTCCACAACTGAGCTCTTTTTACGGCATTTTGTGCAGCGCCACTGGAACCAGCTGCCCATATTCTTAAGAAAATCCACTACAAAACATACGAATTGGCACTAACAGAACAGGTCTATATCTAAATAGAAAATGTATGTACTCGTAGTAAATATTTGACTTTTGACAGGCGCTCGTTAAACTTGACAAAATGTGAGGGTACTTTGAACTCGTGACAAAAACAATAGATTTTACTAATTCTTATAAAAAGTATTTACGTACGATCGTGCATCATGGGATAAAAAATTGAAGGTAATAAATTATTTTAAAGTTTCAATGCTAATAGCCGTCTTGACATTTTACTCGTAGAAGTCATCCATTAGAGATAGATTAGACTTTGGATACGGTTAATTAGCTCTTAGAAAAATATGTTTAAATGACATAAAATCGAAATCAGTATAATGTATGTATATTAATTTTTCTCTTTTCTGTCAAATTGAATTTGACAAGATTTTGAAAATCATTTCAGATTATTTATAGATATAATAGAAGTAAGATGGCGTCGCACCAGTCCTTATGACGCATAATTCACACGAAAACAAACGTCAAATTTTTTAATGTGTTAATTATCATTCTTTAATACAAAAACAGTCTCCAACGAAATTAAAGTCCAACACTATATTAGGATTAGACAGGCCAAGATATATTTACAGGCATAGCAAGAGTATCGACGATTTGGGTTATTTGTGAACTGGTGTCAACTGTCATGTGACTGGCATATTTAAAACTCAATATTTTTGTCTATGGATTTCTAATTAATTTTATATGTTATACAGATTTCCTCAAAAACACTTAATTTTTCATGACAAATAGCTTTATTTAAAACAATTAGGCCTAGTTTGTATAAAGCCGTTGTTCCATTTTTTTATTTAATAAAAGATAACAACTATGTATTGTATCTGGTGTATCATCATCAATGGTTATATAGCCCCTTGTGGGTCTTAGCCTCCTCAAGAAGACTTCGCCATCGCAATCTATCCAGTGCTTCTCGCGTCCAATTTCGAACCCCTATTGTTTCGAGGTCCTTGACAACTGTATCCCACCAACGCAGCTTCGGTCTACCGGGTTTTCTCTTGCCACCGGGTTGTGATTTCAATAAGGTTGGGGTTCTGTCATTTGCCATTCGGTGCACATGTCCCAGCTACTTGAGCCTGTTGCATTATGAATTTGACGATGTTGGTGTCGTCCAGGATGTTATAAAGTTCTTCATCACGAATACGCCAAACACTGTCGTCTTATCTGGTGTATAATTAGTGATTTTACATTTAGCTAAGATTTCCGTAGGTCAATAATTATTCGATTTGACACATGCTTAATCTCTCGCTATAAGGAATGGAATATTAAAAACCTAATTTAGCATAAATAAATTTACAATAAAACTGTGATGAAAAATGAATGATATTTCAGCCGCTCCACGGAGACCTTTCACCGAGTCGTTTTAACAACCTTGCAGTGTTACTTATTTGCTATTATTTTCTTTATTACTACTTAATTATGAATTTACATTGTATATTACGCTTGGTGGACCCATGCGACTTCATCGATACAACTCATGAGTTGTGCGATATTGCGGGCTACTCGATTGTAAGGAATGCATGGATCTGGTCTGGCATCTTAAGTTCTAACGTCATTTGTTATAAGTATCTAATTGTCCTTATTTTAACGTGTGCTATGTTTGACAGCAAAAATAAAATAAATATCAAAATGTATTAACGATACGCGCATACACATCTCCGTACTGGATGGAGTGTAGAACACTTTCTCTAGAACCTTGATTTCATTTCTAAGTACTCGTGTGAGAAAGTGTCTAGCTTTAAAATATTTGTACTGCCTATTCATAAGCATTAATTGAATGGATGGTTTTTCGATTAATTTACACAATTTGACACGTTTGTCGACTTAAATAGTATCTTCTTATCGGGGGCCGTTCAAATATTACGTAAGCAGATTTACTGCAATGTCTCCCCCCTCTTGTCGGCAAAAGTAAGTACATAAAAGTATTATTTTTTTGTAGGAAAATTCAAAAATGCATTTTGTTTTCAAGCCTAAACATTTACTGTTGACGTAATTACCAATTAAGAAAATCAAAGTTCCCATGTATAGTGCGTAACGTTACGTAATACTTGAACGGCCCCCATACAGAGTTGTATATTATAAATATTAGAAAAATATTTCATTGGTAGACTGCAAAAAAAAAAAAGGCTAAATTATAGCAGTCTAGTATTTTTTTCAAACAATTACTATTCGAACGGGCTTCCCTTTAATTCAAAAACGCCCACGGCGTAGCAACATTTTCCATTCAATCTATCATTTTTTATTACGATAGCTTTCTGATTATACGGATTGAGTGTTATTTATGTTTAAAATTTAAATTGCGATCTGGTTTATTTATCTTTCAATTAGTTAGTGAATTAATGAACAACGAGTAGGTACGTAGGTTTATTTATTTCTTACAGCTAACTGAAATTATTTATAACAAAGAACTATATAGTCAAAGAACTGTGTTGGCCTAGTGGCTTCAGCGTGCAACTCTATAAGAGTTTCGGGTGGAATTTCGTATACTGCCTCGACGTCCGATGTTGAAACTCAGCTGCAGGTTCCGATCCGAACAACTCCTCTGAATGCTCTCAAGATGTCTAAGATACATAATTTCTTCCATTTTCCTTCACCGTTCGAGCAAATGTCAAATGCGCACATAGAAAGAAAGTCCATTGGTGCACAGCCGAGGATCGAACCTACGACCTCAGGGATGAGAGTCGCACGCTGAAACCACTAGGCCAACACTGCTCAGTTTTTGCTTCATTTAAAGGGCTTCAAATAAAAAGCGTCTGTAATGAAACTTTTGTTTCACCAAATGAGTGAAGAGATTCTTGAAGAGTTAGCGATATTTTGTATAGAAATAAATATCTGGAAATGTTGTTATGAAACGTAAGGAATAGATGGAAAGTGTTGAATAAACATGCGACTTCCGGTGGAAATCGGCCGACATTGTGCGATGAGAATGAATAGACCAGTCGGTGTGAATATCTGTCATACTATTTAACCCTAATTGTTTAAATATTTAAATAAAAAAAAGGGTGCGTGTACTTATGTACGCGCGTAAGAAGTTATACTTCTTTAGCATTATTAAAAATAGTTTTTGATTGCATGCAAATAATTAATTACAATTAAATAATCAAAGACTGGAAAAGGAGTCATTATAGTCAATAAAGTTCAGTTTACAATTGAAAAATTAAATAAATTAATATTATATTTATATTTATTATTATTTTCTAATATTAATTAGTATTGATTTAAATATTCAATTTAAATCACTTCTGATTATAATTCAGACGCACATATAAAATTCGCACTTGTATAATGAAAACAAAATGAAAACACGTGTTTTAAATGTAGAAACTCAAAGCATGTGGATAAATATTATAAATATAAATACACAGTGAACAGAGGCGGCGTGCGTGCCAACATGCGCCACTAACTTCATTCTTTTAATTTTGTGTCACGGTGCGCGCGCATCGTAAAATTTCACTCTCATCAATTTTTTAAAACGCGCCTAAAGAAGTATAACTTCAAAAATTTTACTAAAATTATCAATATGATTAACTTATTATCACTATACAAACGTTTTATAAGATATATTAAATTATAAGTTACTAGTAGACTCGGCCAAGCGTTGCTGTGGCTAAGATTTTTGTTATATTACATAGTAGTAAACTATTCAAGAGAAACGGCAAAAGAACACCAATCCACCATGCTTTTTTGGTGGTTATGCCATTAAATTGTAGCTTATGTGAAACGTTGGTAATTGAAGGAAGGTTTTTGTTTATTTTTTTACACCTTGGGTTTAGATTATTCGAGTTTTAGTAAGCATCCCTAATTTTTTTTGAAAATTAAACATAGCCTATGTCATAGTGTAGCTTGCCAACGGTGAAAGAATTTTTGAAATCGGTCCAGTAGTTTTGGAGCCTATTCATTTCAAACAAACAAAAAATCAAACCTTTCCTCTTTCATAAGCCACCTGAAGCCAGTATGGGCCAACAGTATACCCAGAAAGTTGACGGCCTGTGCAGGCACAGGCAGCTGATCTGAGGAAATCTGAGGCCCAGACCTAAAAAGGGTTGTAGCACCACTGATTTATTATTTATTTTATAAACACAGGCACTACGAGAATAATAATAATTTAACAAATATTTGATAATGTAGAGTAGTGTAGACCGGTCCAATGCATCTCTTATAATAAATTTTATTAAAAATCTATTATATTATTATCCATTTTTTTCTTCTTACATAGTTATTTTTTATTTGTTATACTTTTTTATACTGCCATAGTTTACTACTCTGTGGTAATAATAATCTTTCAGATACTCTAAAATCACGTGGATCTGTCATAGAATCCGCTTACTAATATATCGTAACTGAAGCATTGGAATTTCCTTCGCTTGCAGGAAAATGTGAAATGTGAACTAGTGAATTTATAATGTGGCATGTCCAAAGTCTACGTTTAAAAACACTTACACAAATGTAGAAGTAATCATTTATGTTCTTTTTTTTTTGAATTGTTATTAATATAATTCGCTTTTTGTTGATCGCGGTCAGCGAAATAATGCTCCATTGGTTTTATTAACTATAATAATAATTGCACAAAGCAGTAAGGAAATAAAATCAATAACAACGAAGTATATCAATGGGCGGAATGCAAATAAAAATAAATTATTTATATTATTAAGGTATTTGTCTCTTTCTGACAAATCGTGTTAACATTGTGTTAAAAAAGGGCAGACGAAATGCTTTATTTGAAAAGGATGCAAGTTTAAAAAAAAAACCTAATTCGGTCTGAATTAGGTTTTTTTTTTAAATTCCATCCAACATTCCATTCGACAGAAGGACTTGTATCCATACAAGTCCTTCTGTCGAAATAACAGAGTATAAATTAAATTTACGTTTAAGGAACATGTTGCCATATTGAACACAAGCTATAGTATATTGAAACTACAAAATAATACTGGTTGATAGTTGTCTATGGTTTATTATTAAAAATTATAGTTTTAGGTTCTAAAGAATAATTTTAGATTTACAAAGTGGTATCTCTCCATAGGCCCTCTGCACATCAGCGCCGTACAGCACAGACCCAGCCGCAGTAGCGGAGCGCGAGAGATGTCGTTATGGCCGCATTCCACGGTCGAGTGCACTCGCTGGCACAGCACAACGGAGGGTTCGCGTATACGCGGACGGCATATACGACATGTTCCACCAAGGACACGCGCTACAGTTGCAGCAAGCGAAGACAGTTTTTCCCAATGTATATCTCATCGTTGGCGGTAGGTCTCCATTCTTTTAACAATATGAAAAATTTAAGTGATATAAAGAATAGACGATGGCGTATGCTTGTAAATAATATCTCCGCTAGTCTAATCATAATACTGTTATCAAGTTTAATTCCTTCGGCTATAGTTTTTGAACGAAATATTTGTGAAATTTAAGAATGCTAATGAACATGTAAACAGTTGACGTTTTTTATGTTTACTGTCATAGGGACAAAACGTCAATGCGACGCCATCTTGAAGAAGTGTTTTGGCGGGTTTTAAAATAATAAATGTTTATTTTGACTTTTTAAAGGCAAAAGATGACCGAATTGAAATTAACAATCTGTATAGGTTTAAGCCACTAATAAATAATGGTTTTACAATCTTGTAAAAACACCTATTTATTTATGAGTTCTCCAAACAAGGGCGTAGAGAATTGAACAATAGACAATAAACACTTCGTCAGTTTTTAATTGTCAAGTAGAATTAATAAATAATTAAATAAAAATATATATCTTATAGTTAAAGAGAACATAATATGATGTAATTCAAAACAACAAAAACATTGTTAAACATTAATTACCTAATATGTACTGAAATGAAAATAATTGTAAACAGAAAATTCATTTTAATAGTAATTAAATGATAAATACTTTAAGAATTCAAAAATAATAAAAAAAACTATTAAAATATAAAGTATTGCTATACATTACTCTTATATAAAGTTATTACATAATATCTTGTCATAATATACAAGGAAGAAGTATTTACATTATTCTATTAATAATAAGAGTAATTTATCATAGCTAGAATATTTGTAATAATCACAATAATAAAATATTATCAAATTCAAGTGATAACTTATCTTCATAAATGTTACAAAAATAAACAGTATTCAAGGATAAAGATATTTTTTGGGTAAAAATTGTACTCTATGAAGCTAGTGTAGATACGGCTGAGCCCCAGATGAAAGAAATGTTAGGTTTCTGAGGAACAGATCCCAAATGAAAGAAATTTCAGTGCCTCTAGGGACTGAGATCATATAACTCACTAGCATTTTCTATATTGAATCTCTATCTCAATACAAGTGCTGGTATCTGAATAATGCAAAAAGGAATGCTATTGCAAGACCGGACTGGACCGAAGGCTGATCGCCTACTTTCCTATTAATAATAGTTCACAGATACAGAAATCCTTGTGGACTGATCTAGATGGTCGATGGCCTTTACAAGACATACCACCATAGACAAGATTTTGTAATCAGCTTTCAGGATATTAACTGATATATCTCATGAATCCACAACTCGCCTTTCCCTTTAGACGCTTAATATATGAAAAGGTTGAAAATTTATCTAGAAAATAGGTTTGTATTGGTATAAATAAATTTTATTGTTTGTTGAGTGACACTGTGAACTGACAAAAGGTCTGCTTCATGTCAGTTCTTATATATATACTGTAGGAAATAGGTTTTTTGTAAATATTTTAATTTATTACTGTTTAATGTGTTGTTCTGTGTACGTATTGTTTGGTGTATGATATAAATATAAATGCTTATTTTGTTATATAAACAAACTCTCTAATCTAAATCGATTTCTTTCGATTCATATTCATACGGTACAGACTCACGATAATTTTAATATTTAGCCGGTCCCGTAAATACTTGATAAATTGAATAAAATCAATGTTAATTGGCCCCCTCGGTAATTTCAAGTTGCAAGAATAGTTTCTTGCTAGCATTCATAATTTGAAGTCCGGGCTTCCCTACTCGTATTTGAAATGTCACCGACCTGAATTGTATTTTTTTTTAATTTGGTCAATGTCTTTTCAAAATAGTTATATTATTGTATTTAATTGTTAAAACATAATAATAATTAAGTAATAATAAACAATTTTATTAAATCTCTTATTTACTAAAAAAATTAAATTAAAATTAATCTCTGGTCCCTTGAGTTTAAAATTATCGATAATCGATTATCGTAGCTAAATAAATTGTTGAATCATTGGAAATCGAATATCACAGAACACGGATTGGTCGGAATACATCGTACGATGTAATCTATAAATGTACAGTAATGTCTTGTGTAATTAGTGTTTTAATCGGAACTGATAAACACGTGACTGTATTTAGATAACTTTTCGAATGAGGGAAGATCCCCATTTATAAATTATTTATTATACAAACGAGTGTTTGTAAACTAAAGCTTAGCTGTCCCTTGGAGGGACTCTTGCTTCATCAAATGAAGTGATGGCACTCTATTTCCTTGGAGTGTTATTTAAAAGGTTTATAACAGGGGGCAATACGGGCAGGAGGCTCACCTGATAAGTGATACCGCCGATAAATAAAAAAAAGGGTGCGTGTACTTATGTACGCGCGTTCTTTGGCATTATTAAAAATAGTTTTTTATTGCATGCAAATAATTCATTACAATTAAATAATCAAAGATTGTTTACACAGTTACAAAGTTCAGTTTACATTTGAAAAATTAAATAAATAAATATTTATTATTATTCTCTTACATTAAGTGTAACATAAATTCTATTATTATTCGAATGTTGTTTTTAAATTATGTCCAATGCCGTAGCATCTTCCGTGGGCAACTTCATTCTGTTAATTTTGTGTCACGGTGCGCGCGCATCGTAAAATTCCACTCTCATCAATTTTTCATAACGCGCCTAAAGAAGTATAACTTCAAAAACTTAATTAAATAAATGAACGTAATGTATAAATGTAACGGAAAGATGGGTGGGGTCGTTGGTCCCTAATTGCAATTTATTTATTTATACGTTCTAAAACAATGTGTATGCCTAAAAAAATATGACATTTCAAAGTTAAGACACATCACATCGGTTATATTAAAACATAAGCAATATATCAAAGGAAATAATTAAACAAACAACCACAAAATAAATATTAAAAATTAAATAACTAAAAAGATAAAAAATAATAACAATAACCAAAACCAAATGAAAATTTAAACCTCATTAAAAGTATGATAAAAAAGTTATGGTAAGTTGTAAAACACATCAATGTTTTCATCGATGTTAGTAATCAAGTTGTAAGAGCGAGATTGTCAGTCGAATTCGCCAATCTTTAGTTAGTAGCGACATTTACATTCACTGTGATGACGTCATACTGAACGCGTTAACGAGGTATTTCCCGCTAAGGATATATACTTCTCGACCTCGGCGAGTGGGTTCTGTGAACCAGTCGGTTGGTTGGTTCGTTGGTCGAAGATGCTCCCTATAGTAGGAGCTGTTCACCATCCTTCCTCCACAAGTTTTATTTTTAATGGAGGTATAAAGTCGCCTTTATCATGTTCAATCATTTTATGTGAAATGAGTCACTCGGGGTGAAATGACTAAATCTAATCCCTTATTTATTAGGGTCGAACAAACAGCTTTGTGATTAGAATTTTTGCTAATTCTCTATTTTTTTTTATGTGACAGAGGGCAAACAGACAGGAGGCTTACCTGATGTTAAGTGATACCGCCGCCCATAGACACTAACATTGCCAGAGGGCTCTCGAGTGCCGGACTTTTAAGAACTGGCTCGCTCTCTTCTTGAAGGACCCGAAGTCGAATTGGTTCGGAAATACTTCAGTGGGCAGCTGGTTCTACATGTTAATGTTGTTTTTTAAAACAAAAAACAATTTGTATGACTCTAAGATTAGCGAAAAAGAGCTGCGGAGAGTTTATTGTCAGTTCTTTTGTTCCATTCTACGCCCTTGATTTGAGAACTGGCAGTAAATGTATAATTAGAAGCATTTAATGTATATTTAATTTTTTTGACGTTCATAAGTGTACATTGTGTTACCTACATGAATAAATGATTTTTGACTTTTAATGTTAACCAATAAACAATAACTATTGAACTGATTTCCAATTAAATGTTACATCTTCCCTCAGTAACAGGCTATATTTATTTCCAAAATGTCCAGTCCATATCCATGTGAAGTCGTTTTAATAAATAACTTTGGTTATATAATCCTCGGATAACTTTTTTCTAATCATTTGCACAATAAACATTATTTAACAATGCTTATAGTACGTATAAATCGTTAATTGGAAAATATGTTTTGTGTTATCGAAGCACATTTCTTATCAAACTTATGCGTTTTATGAAACAAGTAATGCTTCCGTGTTGGAATTCATTTCAGGTTGCATTTGAGCGGAGAAAACGCTTTGTATGTTGACCTTTGGTTTTAAGAATTCAAAATATTATTTATACACAATTATTGGCCTTGTGGCTTCAGCGTCCTCTGAGATCAAACCTACGTCATCAGCACCAACGGACTTTCTATGTCCGCATTTAACACTCGCTCGGTGAAGGAAAACATCGTGAGGAAATCGGACTAAAACTTACTGGCGTGTGTCAGGCACAAAATGCTGTTCTGCCTTGCCTATTAGAGAAACAGATACAGAAATCTAAAGCCCAGACCATAAAGATTGTAGCGCCACTGTTATTTTTATTAATTTTCTCATTATATTATTGATTGCAAATAAAAATTGTCTTCACAAATTCCTGTAATTGTTCCTTCGTCGTTTGGTTCTTAGAATATGTATTTGTGTGTTATTCCCACAAGAATGTAAGTGTGTGCTCCTTTTTCACCATGCCTACTGCTGATAGAGGACAAGTCTTTGATTTGCTTTTATTTTTAATTAACTATTAATTATGTACTTAAGATGTAATTAGGAACACGGCGTAATGGTTGCAGCTCCTTACAAACATTGTGAAATAAAAAAAATAAAAAGAGTGGCGGAGAGTTTATTACCTCGTTCTTCTCTTTCATTCTACGCCCTTGATTTGAGAACTGGCAGTAAATGTAAAATTAGAAGTATTTAATATGTATTTCTTTATTGACGTTCATAAGTGTACATTACCTAAATGAATTTTAATTTCTTCTAGTTTTTTTATTAATTGTCTCTGTACAGATACATCATTTAACATTACGACTAAAAAGTAATTTAAGTCTAAGGAAGTGTCCAATAACTTACTCTCTATTAAGGGTAAACCACTCTGTTCTTGTGTACTCTTTCCAGTGTTTATCACTTAAGAATTACGTGCTAACACTAATTCAATTGGTTTTGTCCTTTTCAAGCCTCAACGAATATTCACGTGTTGGTGGAGCCATTGTTCGTGGGCTCCAGCAATCTTTTTGATTATTATGACGTCATTAAAGTCCCGATTAAGGGGTCCTTGCAAATGTACCACTGTTATTGGCTATTCCCCTGAGCACATTTTTTTTCGTTGGATTATTTTTTTTTAACCATGTAAAAATAATCGTTAGGAATAGTTATTTTTTTCTTTATTGAGGTAAATATACTAAATATGTTATGATGTACTATTTACAGTGTGCAGTGATGCGCTAACGCACAGTCGAAAAGGCCGGACTGTTATGACAGAAGATGAGAGGTACGAAGCAGTTCGGCATTGCAGATATGTTGATGAGGTGAGTGACAATGATTTATACACTCGCAGACGCTCTTGACACTGACTCTCACTTATTGGTATCCAGAAACGGTACCAATCAATCTTGGGCTTATACCTACCTCGACAGAAATGGTGCCACTAAACGTAAAGAATTCATGACCTGTATGTTGGCTTAGTACCTTCAGCGTGCGACTCTCATCCCTATGAGGGAGATCCCGGGTTGTGTACCAATGGACTTTCTATTTGCGTATTTAACATTCGCTCCAACGGTGAAGGAAAACATCGCGAGGAAACCGACATGCCTTAGACCAAAAAGTCGACGGCGTGTGTCAGGCACAGGAGGCTGATCACCTACTTGCCTATTAGATTGAAATATGACCATGAAACAGATTCAGAAACTGAGGCCCAGAACTAAAGAGGTTGTAGCGCCACTGATTTATTGTTTTTTTAAACGTTGAGAATATGTACACAAATATAATTTTAAATTCTACGCTAAATTGTATGCATATATTTTTTTGTTTTATAAATTTCGCTTTTTTGATAGTTTAAAGAACGACTGATTTTGTAGTATTTCTACAGTTCTCTTTGACGTTTCTTGCAATTGCAGATCATATATAAAATAAAATATTAATTTGATAGCTACACAGATTAGTAAAACGGTCATAGAAACTAGACTTCGGAAAGTTGGAGAAAGAACAATGTTTCCGAATACGATTTTGTAAACTTGGCCGGGCCGAACTTCGGTCTTATAATAAAAGTCTTAATGTTTAAAAAAAAAACAAAAAACATTATGAATGCAGTGAAATAATGTTTTCAACAATATTGAAAAATACGTAAATCACCTGTCGATACACACACATCACATCATCACACAACATCCTTCGAGACAAATAAATTCTTAGTATTCTATGTGCTGCACTTATTATTCATGAATTACGTAATACGGTGTTTGTGAATCATTAATGTGAATTCTTCAAGTATATGGAGCTTGGATTAGCATGATGACGTTAATATGACTGGCAAACATGACTATCTCAATCTTAAAGTTGTATGAATACTATACACATTCAATGTGGAATCACAATCTTTTTTTATAACGTGAGTCGGGAGTTAGCGCTGGCCGCTGACCTTCGCGTTGGTGACTTTTCAGTTGTCAAGTGTCAAAATCAACTGTTTTGACACACGTGAATCGGTAAGTCTCGATTCTGAATAGAGTCCTTTTCATGAAAGAAGTCCCCCAGACGCGGCGCTGTAATCGCGTGACGTAATGTTGCCATTTATGAGTAAAAAATTTACCTATTTTACATTTAGCATATGTAATTTATCAAATAATACTATTTTCTGCATACTTCGATGAAACAATATTTCTGTTATGTAAAAAGTATTTTTTTAGTTACTTATATTAGCGGTGTTCTACCTACTTAAGGGAAAAGATGAGAAAATAGGGTAAAGAAAAGCATTACAATTTTTTATTCAGAGTTTTATTGAATAATTGTGATCAGCGGCCAAAGGGACATCACTATCTGAAGAGTGGATGGAAACAGAATCAGATTCTGTTTCAGTATCACCAGCCGTAGATATAATTGTTCTATTTTATATTGATACTATTTCGTATGCGGGCGACTCTTCCCCGGGGTGACAATTTTTTTCGAAGTACTCGCCGCTGTTACAGTTCTCTCTGACACACCTGCCATTAAATAATGAACAATCAAAAATAATAGTAACTTTTAAGTTTATAATGCTTATGTACTATGTAATATATGTTTGAATTACAGTTACCTAGTTTCATTCGTTATGTATTTGTTCAAATTTGTCGCAAAATGAATTTATATCATAAAAGTTCCATCAATACAGCAAAAAATTATTATGTGGTTACTCTAAAAAGTACCTGTTATGGCGGCTACTCTCTTCTGAACATTGTTTAGTGGTATTAAAACACCTTGATTCTTTTGTTCCGCTTCACAGAACGATTTCACCTTCAATATCATTTCTCGAGCCGAACTTTATACAACTTTTGGCATTGTAAACAATCTTTAAAATGCACTAAGCTAGTTAAAAACTCTTAAAAATCTACCACAACAAACGAACTTGATAACATCGACGAACGACAACATGGCCGACCTGTCAAATTTAGTTCCAAAAATCTCCGCGGGTCTTCTTTCATGAAAAGGACTCTACCTTAAGAATGTCTGTCAATCTTACAGATAACATGTTAACATTATTTGAATCTTTTTACTTACGGAAGTAATTCTAACAATAATAAATTTTAAAACAAATGGTGACTTTCACCAGTATAATACTCGAAGCAGAACTAATCTAAGCGTAGTCAATCAGGCTCCAGAAGTAAAACCACGCTATATGGAAATTGTATTCGTTTTTACAACAAACTTCCAAGCGAAATTAGAGAATGACCACTGAATAAATTCAAAACTCTCGTTAAACGTAAATTAATGAATAAAGCTTTTTATAAAATTGACGAATACTTGAATGATCCTAATCCTTGCGATTGATTTGCTCCAGTTCAAACAATTTGTATGACTCAAAACTTGGCGATTAAAAAGAGAGGCGGAGAGTTTCTTGCCAGTTCTTGACGTGCATAAGTATGCTTGTGTACCTATATGAATAAATTTATTTTGAGTTTAAAATTAAGGCTTGCCCTAATAGGCCACATATCACTTAACAAAACATTTGCCTGGCTAATTTCTCTATGTACGTCAAAGACAGATCACGTGTCATGCGCTGTGCTGCACAAAATTGGGAACAAGAGTTGACCTAGTGTTCACACTCCACTCACTTGTCAAGTGGATGCCACGCGAGCATAACGTGTTATCTGACCTTGAGCTGAAAATTAAAAAACAATCCGGTTGTTTTAGCAATGGCCTTGTATCAACAGATTCTGTAATCAATCGTTATTGCCTACCGGGAGTATTATTTCATCAAAATTGTAATACAGCTCCTTATTAGCGTAAAATATTATTTTAAATTAATTTTATATATCTATAAGTTATACATATCTGAATAAGTAATGTTTTTACTTTGCAGAAACATATATATGTTCATGTAATTTTTTTTAAATGTTGTCTGTTGGTTGATAAAGAACTTAAGATTAAGGATATTTGACATAAGAAAGTGTCCAATTACTACAGTCTCTATTAAGGGGAAAACACTCTGTTCTTGTGTAATCTTTCCACATTCCACTAAGTATCACTTAAGAATAACGTGGTAACTAATTCAAATGGTTTTGTTCTTTTCAATCTTCTGACGAGGCCCGTGGTGTCACAAAACTCGCCGTCACGAAAAAGCCTCTACGAATATTCGCGTGTTGGTGGAGCCTTTGTTTGTGGGCTTGAGTTAGGGATCGTTCAAGTATTGCGTCACGCAAATTTTGGAGATTATTGACCCCTCCCCCATGTAACGCGCCGTAACGTTTTTCTGTACCCACGTATAGCAAAACGTTTCGTGACCACTTAGTGACTCTTTATATCTAAAAGTTACCATTATGTGCTGTAAAGTACTGGAAAGTCGAAAATAATATTAACAATAACGCGTAATTCAATCCCCGCCCCGCATCGTAACGTTTTACAAAAGGGGACCCCCCCCCCTACGTTACGTAATACTTGAACGCTTCCTTAGTTGAAAAATAACCTATGATTGATTGATTTACAAATACCAGCAGTTTGAGTACTAAACAATAACCTATACATTTTAATATAACAAAATACTTTAAACAAATAAATGATATTATACTAAATTAATGGAGGTTCAACAAATCATTAAACAACTCCAGGAACTGCTCTGGGTTAGATTTTAATGTTTACTGAAGGCGTGAAACGAAAAGTCAACAATTTCTTTGTTGAAACAACGTTACTTGCATAATTTGTTGAATACCATTTCTGGTTCATCAGTTACTGAAATATTTATTAACTTGATAATCAATTTAACATCTTTTCTGGTGACGTTCATAAGTGTACTTGTTTACCTATATGAATAAAATTATTTTAAGTTTGAAACAAAAATAAAGCAGTTATCAAATTTGTTATGCATTTACTCATTTAAAATTTCAGGTGGTACGCGATGCACCATGGGAGTATGAAGAAGAGTTTTTAGAGAAACACAAAATAGATTTCGTGGCACACGACGATATACCATACACATCCGGTGACTCTGAAGATGTCTACGCGATGGTCAAGTCCAAAGACATGTTCGTCGCGACGCAGAGGACGGAAGGTACTTTCAATTGTATACATAGAAAGATTCTTTAAAATATAATATGTCGGAGAGATATATCGTCACTCCATCGATATGGAAATCGTTATTAGCGGGCTTATTTTATTTAGATTGATTCCTTTTAACATTACAAATAACACTTTTAGATGGTGTAAAGCTTACTACACAGTCAATGACTACCTGGAAGATAAAAACGCTTGGCAATAGTTCTAATTATATTCTTATAATCTGATTTGTGTGTAATGGTGAATGTGGTAAATCACAGAACAGATCTTGATTTTTTTTTACTTATATAACTTTAATGACGTTGTGGTTTATGACATTTTCCTTTGAATAATTGTAATGTAGAGGGAGGGTAAAACTTGCTGAGTGTCTTGCACGTTCTTCTCAGAACGAGGCCTCCTGGTAGTTTTGCGAACGGATGGCGTAGTCTTGCTCTTTCGCGAATTTTGTAAACGTTTTTGACATTCATAAGCATGCCCTAAGCATCGCATCGCACGCATCTAAATTGAATAAACGTATTTTGATTTTTTGAGCTTAAATAGTCCCCAGTTCCTCCATCAAATCAAGCCGCGCACCACCACTATGTGAAACCAGCTGCTTACTGAAGTATTTTAGAACCAATTCGACTTAGGGTCCTTCAAAAGTGCGTACCAATTCTTGTCCATGGACGGCGGTATCACTTACCATCAGGTGAGCCTCCTGCCCGTTTGCCCCGTGTTATATAAAAAAATAACAAAACAAATAGAATCAAATGAAGTTATGATTCTTAAAAGTAATAGAAGGACGGAATGATTAACCAAAGTAACAGTCAATTGACTCGATCAGAACATTTCTTGATAATCCGAGCTTTCCCCGACATATATAAGAGATTATAAAATGGTTGTCATTGGATAAGGGAGCGTTCAAGTATTACGTAACGCAATTTTTGGAGATTATTGACCCCCCATGAACTCACCGTAGACCTTCGTGACCACCTAGTGACTCTAATAGTAACTAATTATGTGGTGTAAGTAGAAAATAATATTAACAATAACGCGTAATTCAATCCCCGCCCCGCATCGTAACGTCTTACAAAAGGACAAAAAAAATCGTAATACTTGAACGCTCAAGCTGTTGTTCTTGGAAAAATAATCTCAATTGATCCTAATCGTTATATCAAATTGCAACCCTGCGACATAGCTATAGATAATAAAAAGTAAAATTAGAAATTAGAATTGTATGTTATTGAATATTTACAACCGCGCATATCTTAAAATTTATGATTTCACGCGCGTCTCCCCCTCCACCCGCTCTAGTGACTAGTGAAACAAACTTATGCCCGAAGTTCGCGTGAGATGAGACGGGTGATACAGTGTTTTCGTGGGACTAACGCCTTTAGTACACCTACGCGTTCGTATGCGGCTGCGAATCTTTGCGAAATAATTGCGGTAGCGAAATATCTGCGGAACGTTAGTACACTGCAGGTTTTTCGCAAGGATATGTCATTGTAGCTTTCGTGGGCTGTAGGTGCAGACGTCGTTTCAGAATGTCATCTGAGTCGTCCCATTCGTCGCTTTCAGATTCTGAAGAGGATTTTGTAATCAACATGCCCAACTAAATATAATTCGGGATAATTTCGAATCAAATTCAATAATAATTCAATATTTTCGGCTTCCATTGTGCGAAATTCTGTCCTCACTGACAGAACGCGTGGTGACGCCTTGCGATGCGAAACTTTACTAGCGAAACGTCTGCGTCTGTGTAACAGCCATTTCGCAGTTACTTGCGAAACAATACCGACAAGGACGCAACTATTTCATCTAGCTATATATTAGAGCGAGACAAAACACATGCGAAACGTTGCCATACAACTTACAGTTTTTTCGTCGTTTCGCTGCCGCATGCGATTGCGTAGGTGTACTAAAGGCGTAAACGCCTGATGCGTTTTAGTTACATAACTCGTAAAATATGCAATATTTAATAAAATCGCTAGTAACGGCCAAACGAATGTGCTGTACCTAGTTCAATTAATGTTTGACTCCATAACACTTGCCGTGATTTAATAAAACGAAATTAGACAAAAGTTAGAGGTGACTGTGTTCTTTTTTGTGTCGAAGAATTTATATTGTGTTTTTAATTAGAGTCAACCATTGAAATTGTAGTGATGGATCAATACATAGTAATTGTTTTTAATTCAAGCAACACATACTTAGATAAAATCAAGTTTACTATGAGTTTGGTTAGTGGTCTTAATCAGTTTCAGTCAAACTAGAATAGTTATTTACTAACTACTGTGTAGACCCTTTATAACGTGATTCGTTATAACGAAATTTTGGTCTCAGTTACTAAACGCTCCACCGTCACCTATCGTGTATTATCAGTTGTAAACAAAGTTTGAAACTGTTAAGATGGCCAGTAAAAGAAAAGCGTTGTGTTTAGAATAATTTACCTATTGATAGTAATAACATTAGAAATTATTGTAATTGGTTAAATATGTTTCTTTTATTTCACTCCCTATAACAGTACTCTCTATAACGAAAGCATATTCTCGGTCCCTTGAAATACGTTATAATGTGGTTTACACTTTATTTAATATTTGGGATTTTACATATAACACCAAATAAATATATAACTATTTAAAAGGGTACAGGGAAAATATGTTTTTAAATGATGCAGTAGAGATTTCATACGAAAACGTCGCTATTCAAGAATTACAAAAATTGCTATCAATTCGCGTTTAGGTGGAGTAGACCAGAGACAACATTGATGTGTATGTTGGATCTCGGTCTAGACAGTTTATCTGAATCGCCCTAGACCCAGACAGCCTATCGCGAATATGATTGTGATAACATACATTGAAGGCTGTATCGCTTCGATAAATAATAATAACACATTGATTTCAGATGCATAACATTTAATTATCTATATTTACTAGCTGACCCAGCAAACGTTTGTTTTGCCATGTGTATTATTTCTAGGAAACATTTTTTTAGTTCAATAATAAAAACTATCTACAATAGTACAAAATAGGGGTTGATCGTAGAGGGGTGACAATTAAGGGTTGTATGTATTTTTGTATGATGTATCATAAAAAAATTTGGAGTGGACATACATAACATTTAGGAGTATGAAAATAGTAACCGATTCTCAGACCTACTGAATATGCATAAAACAATTCATAAGAATCGGTCGAGTCGTTTCGGAGGAGAATGGGAACGAACATTGTGACACGAACATTGTGACACGAGAATTATATATTAGATATTATGTTTTTATTCTTTTTATTTATTTATTGCAAGAAAATGGTACAAAAATGTGTAAGGTTGTACAATCGTAAGTTCGCATTTTCTGCCATACACAATGGCGCGCAAATTTGTCTTAAGGAATATTACATTTTACATTATTAGTCAAAGTCAATTCTTATATTATTTGTATGATGTATCGTACATATCATATCATACTTTATTAAATGTATATCAACTACACTGTCTCAATCAAATAATCATTTATTGAATAGTACATTTTTTCCAAAAGTAATACACCAAACGCTTTTTAAAGACTAGTCGGAAGATCTTTAATATCTGTATGCAATTTTTCGGCAAAGGCCTCCTCCAAATCCCGCCTCTTCTGTCTGCTCTTTGCCATGTAACAGCTGTTTCCTTGATCTAGTCCAGTGATGGGCAAAGTACGGCCCGCGAAAGTATATAATTCGGCCCGGCGAAGGTCCATCATGAATAGTATATGGCCTGTTATAATTTGACGGTCGAGAAGAAAAAGTAGATTCTACTTTTAATGTTATTAAAAGCTTGAACACACAATGCATTTATTGTATAATTCTGGCTCTCCTCTAGAATTAATTTATGTGGCCCGCCATTAAAAAAGTTTACCCACCACTGATCTAGTCTATCAGGTCTATCCACCTTCTAAACGGTCTTCCTTTTTGACGTTCATTCTACTGGTCTAAGATCCCGCTATACAACGACCTTCACCGAGATGCTTATTTAATGAAACTTATTTTATATATAATTTAATATGTCAATAAATATAATCCATATGGGTTGCCTAGCAAATTTCAGTCCAGAGTATGTTTAATTAATTTTAAAAAAATATATTTTTTTAAACATTTCACCGGTATGATTATTAGATAAATTCTATACCAATCGAAAGTATGAAGCCCATAGAATATGCAAACGTTAGGTTGTTTTTAATCAATTAATTATTTATGTGTATATTTTTTATGTGACACTAAAGTATATATACATCTTTAGTATAAAAGAAGGTTATAGTGATACATATATAATACTACCCTGATTAAAAATATTGATTGAAAAAAGTTCAAAAAATTTACTACATGCAAATTATAAAAAAAAAAATTTTTTTTTAATATTAATTAAACATACTCTGGACTGAAATTTGCTAGACAACCCATATGGATTATATTTATTGACATATTAAATTAAATATAAAATAAGTTTCATTAAATAAGCATCTCGGTGGAGGTCGTTGTATAGCGGGATCTTATACTATACCTTGGGCACCAGTTTAATACTTAGTTCGTACTTATACATTACTAATATCTTACTAATACGAGCTAAAGTTCTGTTAGTGTTCTTTTATCGACTTCAACGTGAATCGGAAATATATTTGTATGTTCTAAATAAAATCTTTCAAACCATTATATAAAAATAAAGTGTTTTTCAGAGTATTCTGTATAAATGGCGTTACGAAAATAATCATTAGTTTATCAAAGGATTCATTATTACAAATATAGATTTTATACGTCACGTGACACAAAATGATCACAGATTGCTCGAATCGACAATTATTCATGTCTGTAAATAATATCTTCGCCTGTCTAATCGTTATTCTGTCTTTTTTTTATATAGAACAGGCAAACGGGTAGGAGGCTCATCTGGTGGTAAGTGATACTGCCGCCCATGGACACTCTCAATGTCAGAGGGCTCGCGAATGCGTTGCCGGCCTTTTAAGATTCGGTACGCTCTTTTCTTGAAGGACCCTAAGTCGAATTGGTTTGGAAATACTTCAGTGGGCAGCTGGTTCCACAAAGTGGTGGTGCGCGGCAAAAACTGCCTTAGACAACGCTCAGTTCTGGAACGACGGACGTCGAGTGATATGGGTAGAATTGGAGTCTTGGAGTTTAACCGCGAATGAGACTGTATTTGATAAATATGATATATGTATATTTGAGTTTAACAATGATAATTAACACCTAGAAAAAAATTGAGGTTTGTTGACGCGTCTACAAGCACGGTACGTCGTAGGCGACATGGCATACATATTTGATGTTGTATTTTACATGATATTGTTTCCCATCGACAGGCGTCTCCACGTCGGATATTGTGGCCCGTATCGTCCGCGACTACGATATGTACGTGAGACGAAATCTGGCCAGAGGCTACTCGGCCAAGGAGCTGAACGTCTCCTTCCTTAATGAGAAGAAATTCCGCCTTCAGAACAAGATGGACGAGCTCAAAGATCGGGGGAAGAAGGTGAGGGTCACTGAACTCTTTTGTCCCTTTCTGTCTCATTGTATTAATCTGTGTTGGAAAGAAAGTCCAATGATTTATTTTTAAAAAAAAAAGTTTTTATGTCTCTTTCTTCTATTGTCTGTGACTCGTTTTGACTTCAATTACTAGTTATTAAGATTAAACTCAATAATTTGTTAATCTTCTAACGAAATTAAGAAATGTATTAAAGAAACGCTTTGTAAAAAAGGCTTACTATAAAGTTAACGATTATCTGGTGGATATAAGGGCCTGGGACTAGTGCTAGACGGGCTTCTTCTAATTAATTTGCGATATTTGTTTTAAAATAAGTGTTGTTTGATGATTTGCTATTTTAAAAGAGTACCGAGAGTTTTTAACGCCGGCTTTTTCTTTCGGCCTACACCCTCTGTCTTCTTTGCCGATGAGTAGGGATGTCTACCGGTTCAAATTTAATGACGTGGAATAAGTGATACCTGTATCTTATGTTCCATAATAAACATATTTTTTTTAATGGGCTTTGAAAAATTTATCTCTTTCAGGTCATAACAAATATCGGCGAAAAGAGGGTAGACATCCTCAGCAAATGGGAAGAGAAGTCCCGGGAGCTCATTGACGCATTTCTGCTTCTCTTCGGCCCCGATGGAAGACTCTCCAACATTTGGAATGAGTCCAAGGGTCGGCTGATGCAGGCCTTGAGTCAGCCACCTTCGCCGCAAGCATCCGAGAATGGAGATCCACATGAGAACAGGTATACACATTTTTGGAGGAGAATTATAGAAATATAGCTTTAAACATATAACAAAAGTATTCATAAATATTCATAAGCATTATCTCTATCTTCTAATATATAAAATTCTCGTGTCACAATGTTCGTTCCCATACTCCTCCGAAATGGCTCAACCGATTTTTATGAAATTTTTTATGCATATTCTGTAAGTCTGAGATTCGGACAACATCTATTTTTCATCTCCCTAAATTTTAAGGGTGGTCCCAGCCCTAAATTTTTATTTTTATTTTTTAGACAAATCTTTTTGTTTTTATTTTTTTATGATACAGCATACAAAAATACATACAACTCTTAATTGTCACCCCTCTACCGTCAACCTCTATTTTTTATTATAGTAGATAGTTATTTTTATTGAACTAAAAAAATGTTTCCTAGAAATAATATACATGGAAAACAACGTTCATCGGGTCAGCTAGTTATTAATATAAAAATGACCACTCTCTAGAGGCATCTTAGTCTAGAAGCTAAGAAGACTTTCGACTTTGAAGTAGGGCGTTCGAACTCAGGCCAAAAAATTAAGAAAAGCCGACTTACTTGACCATGACAGATTATTAAGAATACAGAAATCTGAGGCCGAAACTATTATGTAGAGTCGTTGGTTATTAAAAATACTGCGACTCTCATCCCTGATGTCGTAGGTTGATCCCCTGTGCACCAATGGATTTTCTTTATGTGCGCATTTAAAATCCGCTCGAACGGTGACGGAAAAGATCGTGAGGAAACCGGCTTGCCTTAGACCGAAAAAGTCGACGGCGTGTGTCAGGCCCTGAAGGCTGATCACCCTCCAAACTTATTTATTTTTTTATTTATAATCCTTTTTTGAACAGGAGTTCCGAATCCCCTCCACCGATGAAGGCGAGGCGTTGTGATAACCTTTGGGATCCGCATGCAGGTAACTGGGTAACTAGTGCACTTTTTAGATTGCTTTGACACGAATAGTTCAATGGCTTTTGACACAGTTACAATTTTTTGTACATATATCGCAGCCAACTAGGAGCTTTATTATTAGCCGTTCAATTAACAGTCTAGCCGTTTAACTAGCGTCCTGAAAGATTTTCAGCCAGTTGATCAAACAGACACAAATGACTTGGATCGATGACGTTTCATTACTTGCCTAGCCTGTTGACTGTTAATTTAAATTTAATTCCACTTTCTACTCTCAAACTCGTAACGAAACTCTTCAATCTGTCAATATGGCGTCGGCAAACTACAACTTTGATGGTGTTTTTCAAAGTTTCATGAAAAACAACAAGTACAATGTGGTGACAATAATAATGTGAATTTGACTCAAGCAATTTAATTTTAAAAGAAATATTTTTATGTCATATGTTTATCTTGTTTATTTCTGCCAAATAATGACTCTATCGTACGAATAGACGGCGCCGTTTAGTTAAAAGGCTAGTCTGTTAATTGAACGGCTAATTAAGCTAGTTGGCTGCGACACATACATACCATTATTAACACAAGTAGGAAGCGTTGAATATAGTTAGAAGTAGTTGTGCCTATGTATAACTCATTAGTTTAGACGATGGCTTCGAAAATAGTAAATTATTATCCTTGCACATAAGGTAAACTGTTGATCACTAATAGACAATAAACATAAGGTTTTATTTGAATTAGGGATGCATCGATACGCTGCTTTTTGCCGATACGATACCGATGCCGATACCCTTATAGAAATATCGTCGATACCGATACCAACGCTATTAAAAAAAACGACGGGTTGCACTCCGGGAGTGCCGCCAGATGTGAAAATTTGAATATTAACGTTGTGCATTTTTTATATTTTGGAATGGTTAATTTTGCACGAATTGCTTTAATCATCAGTATAAAAGTACTATCATTTATGTGGTAGAATACAATATTTATTTATTGCGCTATCGTACACAAACATGACAATTTATATTACATTAAATACGTAATCTACTCCCCATCCGTCTTACGAATTTTCGATCAGGTCACGTGTCATGTTTAACATTTTGTACCCATTCCAAAAAAAGTATACAACGCCGCTAAAGAAGTTTTCACTTCTAAAATATAAAGAATCACAAACTTTGAATAAGATTAAAGGTTTAGTTATTAATATTAAGAATTAAGAGTAATAATTAAATTAAAATAAATACTTGTAAAAAAAATAAAATTAACATTGATAAGATTTTTGTAATTCAGTTAAAAGAATAAAACGCGGGGATAGATAGTCCGTGCCTCGTTTGCAATGTTAAAAGCGCGAAAAGTATCGTATCGGCAATTAAAATATCGCCAATGCTGATATATCGGCAAACCCAAAGTATCGCCGATATATCGGGATCGGTATCGGATGCATCCCTAATTTTAATATTAAAACATAATTATAAAAATTTTATTAACCTCAGATGCATCGAGCTCTGACGGCGGTGGTGAACCGGAAGAGGCGTCACAGCGACAGCTGACCGACGACGGCTCCGACGACGACGACTACCAGGACCCGAGCCCTTACCTCACCTAGGACCACCCTCGTTCACTTTCCACCAGGCTGAGACATTTGACAATTTTGTATATTCCATAAGGAAATAGAAAATGCTGTAACTTCAAATTGGCTTCGAATCGATTGTGCCCTCACTCGTGGATGGTCTATCGACAAAATTTTATGTCAAATGTGAACATTGTACAAATATTTTAAATCAATATTATGTATTTGTATCGCATAATTTTCTTTTATGCATACAAACTGACTAGTGAACACAAATGTTAGTTTGATTTTAGAGCGATTGATTCCTCAGATAACAAAAATTTGTTTTTTTGTTAACAATCAGTATAATTTGGTATATCCGGTTTTCATGGACACGTATATGAACGCTGATAACCCTTTATTCTCACATTTTTGGAACAAAAAGTAATTCATAATATTACTTTTTGTTATTACTTTTTTAATGAGTTAAAACTCAATGTTATTCATATTCTATGTCAGGAACGACATTTTTATGTAGTTTTTCACATCATATTCCTTATTTATTACTATATCTTAGTTTTAATATTTATCTCTCTGTCAGTATACACTTTTGGTAAAAATCATTAATTCCATTAAAGATAACTTATTTATTACTATGTTCGGTAATAACAATATAATGTATGTATTAGAATAAGCTCAAAAGATGAGCAACAAATTATACAGTTAAAAAATTTGTTGATTTAGAACAGAACTGAGGAATGAGACATCGGCTCTTAGTGTAATAGTCCAACTGTACCAAGCTGTATAATATACAGTTAAGGCAGTAAGATGGTAACATTTAAATGTTGCTTTTCTTATAAAACTTACAATAGTTTTTATATTTGTGTTTTAATTTTTATAAAGTTGGGTAAAACAAAACTGACGAAGTATTGCTATACATAATACGTCCGGAAACATCGAAAGAATGATATAGCGAGCATTTCTTTTAAATGAATTAAGTTATTTATGTCTTCTGTATGTTTTCTGTAACCAAGTGCGAATGAATGAATTATCCTATTAGTTTTATTATTTATAAATTATCACACAACCTTGTGTAAACACCTAGGTCTCTAGGTGACCAAAAGATATAGATTATTTGTATAGAGTACTCTTTTAACAATTAAATAAAGAGGTGCTTATTAATGCTTGTTTTTACTTTCAAATCGACAGGTCTCTTGGCTTAGGCATAATACTCGGAGAATACTATACTCCAGTCAGATTTTAATTAATTGAAAAAGAAGTCCAATTGACAAAATAAGAAAAGACTTCAAATGGACAGCTATTAAAGAATAAATACTATGTAGCTATGTTACTGATAAGGATTGATGTAACTCATACAGGATGAATAATATTTCCGGTAGATTCATAACCAAATTATCATTTTAAACAACACCTATTTCAAACAAATATTTTATTAAGTTGCATTTTAAATTTGATTTGTAGGCTCATGTAGTTAAAAATAATTTCTTTTGTATGAAGATTATAAAGAGAAAATATGTATAACGTGTAGTTTATACTTCTTTTAAAAATTTTTATATAAATGCTTGGTTAATGATAGAGAATACAAGGTTAAAGAAAACCACTTTCCATACAAAGTATATTTTGGTATAAAATTGTACTTAAAAAGTTCCCCCCTGTAATGTGGAGATTTCTCAGGTTATATTTCTGTAGTATGCAATTTATAATGATTTGTCAAGTCCATAATTAGTTTTGAGTACCTTTGCATCTGTTTCAATTGTTATAAAATTAAACTTAACTTTATTAAATGCAATATCCTATAACAGGTCCACCGCATTGTACTGGGGATTACTATATATGCATAATCAATATATGTAAATGAGTAAACCAGTTTTTATAGATGTTAGATAATAATACAAGTTAAATATCAAATTATTCCATGCAAAAAAGGATACCTTTCAAACAGAAAGCTTATAAATCATCAAATTACATAATCACATAATTAATGCATCAAAAAGTAAAGTACACACCAATTAAAAAATAATAAATGCCTAGTAGTACTTGCTGTAATTGGTGATAAATTAATTACTTAAAAATAGTAATCACAATTCTGTCTTAGCTTTAGCACTGTCTCCTTTCTGTTTAAGCTCTTCGAACAAACAGGAATCATCTGTGTTTCTCAATGCATGTTTTGTACACAAGTGGATTTTTAAATCAACATTCCCTTGTTGCTTCCAATACCAGTCTTCAATTACTTCCTCATTCTCTTCTAAAAGACTTTCACATTGAGTTTTCATATGAGTTATTTCTGCTGACGGTTTGTCCCATAACTCTAAAGGTATTCCCAAATCAACTTTTACACCTTTATCAACAAGGCCATGTAAAGTTTTAAAAGTTTGACTCATACCTTTCGCAAATCTCGTACTATCATCTCGCTCCTTATGAATATTATAGTCGAGGATTTTTTCACAAACACCATCCAAAGACTCAATTAGCCGAAGTTCAGACTTTTCATACTTTGTCCTCTTCTTTGGCTTAACGTCATCTAGAGAATATCCAATTTCAATTACGTCGTGCACTTTGCCGGTTTCTTCTAGCCGGCTTTGCAATTCAGTTGCTAATATTTTGCATACTTCGCATCTATTAGCGTACTTGACCCCTAAGTCTTCTTCGGATTTTACTTCAACGTCATGGCTGCCCATCACATTCAATATAAATAGAAAACAGGTAAAAGATTTTAGAACAATCATCGTAATTGTTAAAATAGTTTTAAGTCATTAGTTTGAATTTTCTAAGCTATCTGCTACCGCCTACCGGCTATATTATTATAAGATTGAAACTTACAAACCATAGATACATTAAAGATAGACTTTCGTCTCTCAGAAACAAAATAACAAAATATAAACTGACATATTATACCAAGTGTCAAGAAATCGTAGACGGACTATGGTATAGACCAGGCATCAGCGTACACTGTACAGCGTGTGAGAAAGCGAATGATTGGAATAACTTCACAATGCCACTAATATTGCCATGAGAAAATTTTTCCCTATTTTGTGGGGTAATTTTTATTATACCCCACAAAAAAAAATTTCGGGGGTACTCACACCACACGCATATTAAGATTTCTTAATCTTGACAAAATATATATTATATAATATATTGCAAAATACACATTCGAATGAATAATTCTTGAACAAAGTTACTGAGTCGTGACAAAATTAGCTACTTACCGATGAAAGTACCGGTTCTTTACGTTCACTATAGCTTTTACAGCCAATTATGCAACAATTCACCATGACTGACACTTTAAATACATCTCTTATAAGGATAAAGTCTTAAATTAATATGGGTTTGACTTGGGTTTCACAGATTTATGACAACATTGTGGCAATGTGGAAAATTGGTGACATTTTGTTTGCCACCAAGCGCTCGGTGGTAAACAAATAAAACCCGATACGCAAATAGAGACAGAAAAACTGATACTCTGTTTCGCTCGCACTTAAGTATTTCACGTTAATGCCTTCTCTCTTTAGTTATTATTGTTATTCTAGAAGCTCATCTAGTTCTATACTCTATCTACGTTCCAAACCCAGCTCCGAGAAGTGTGTGGGAATTGATGGAAAATCAAAAGTTTGGCATTGTACAGAAAATAAAATTACCTCCAGAGACCAGTATTTACTGGAGAATGTTTTGGTCTGCTGAAGTCTATGGAGTACATTTTAATAATGAAGTTAAAAAAATCAATAATTTCCAAGCCTTGGAAAGATTTCCTTTTAGCAATTACAGAAATAATCATCCAGTAATTATTGCATGTCGTGATTTCTTGCATCAATGTTGCATCAAAAATTACAGTTTCTTTTACTTGGATTCCGGGGCATTCGGGTATCTTTGGCAATACCAAGGCCGATAGCCTTGCCGAAGCTGCGGTCAATGACGGAGATCTGGTTCGGTACAAAAACTTTTGTTGTGATTTCCTAAATTCTCTCCTTCCTAAATCCCAGTTATTGAATTCTTGGACAAACATTTGGCGTTCTTCAAGTCAGACTAAAGGTCGATATTACAGCACGATTCAGGAGGATATACCTTCTAAACCATGGTTTGCAAATCTGACGATTGGTAAAGCTATCACTTCGACCCTTATACGTATGAGGGTGGGCCATGCATGCATTCCTTGACATTTGGCAAGGCTTAACCTTTTGCCTAACGATATTTGTGAGTGTGGCAATGACGTTGGGGATTTTAATCATATATTCTTCACCTGATGATTCTTAAGTTGGCGGGGGGAAATTAAATTTTTGCACTTTTTTTAGCTCTATCAACTGTTCGTTAACTGTTCTTCATTGTTCTATCAAAAAAATTTTTTGTTTGTTTTTTGACGTGACAACGTCTTATAATTCGATGGAGCCGGCTGCACGCACGAAAAAACATGACTCATGCGGCGTTACCTCGCTCTGAGGCGTTACCTCGCTCTGAGGCGTTACCTCTCTCTGAGGCGTTACCTCGCTCTGAGGCGTTACATTTAAAATTGACATAATTGTATTTATGCGTACAAATAAATGTAACTTGATCAATTCAATTGTGATTTCCATTTACCTCCTTCTCTATATCCATACAAAATACCTATCAAACAAATAAAATTTAATTTTTTTTTTTGAAAAATGCAACCATCCCATCAATATTTTTTTATGACGTTGTCACGTTCAACTATCGTCAGTAAACCGACTTTACAGACAACCGATTTTTTTTTTAATTATAAAAAAATTGACCCTCAATTTGGCACGAACTATAGATATTTTGATATTTTTTTTTTCTAATAGATAGATAGATAGAATAGAACTATTCAATAACTGTTCGTTCAAAATAAACAACTGTTCGGCTTTCATTATCCTGTAATTTAATAATAATTAACTTTTTTTTAAAATCTTAATTAAATGTTATTGCGCATTGATTATAGCTCTCGTGAAAATTCATATTAATTAATAGTTTCTCGATTTTAACTATGACGTGGATATATGTATGGAGTATGGAGAGATAATAAACAAAATACTCCACTTTATACATAAGTATTATTTAAAAAATTTATTGTTCTAGAATATATTGTATCAATATATAAATATATAGTTTGCATGGGACTAATCCTTTTCTATTTTTCTCAATCAATATATTTAATCAGGAATGTTAAAAGAATGGATAAGTACAAGAAATACGACTTTAGATGTTAAGAAAGAGTTCATTTTGTTTGTATAAAATAACAAAATATAAATGAAAGTAGAAACCGGGTGATTGGATGGAAACTGGATGATTATGATTTTGTTGTTGCTGCTGTTATTGTTGTGTTGTCTCTTTGAATCGAATTCAAATAGGCCGCGCATAATTTATGAGAACTATGCGCATTGATACTGCGCATGCGCAATAACATTTAATTAAAATTTATAAAAAAAAGTTAATTATTATTAAATTACAGGATGAAAGCCGAAGAGTTGTTTATTTTGAACGAACAGTTATTGAATAGTTCTAAACTATTAGAAAAAAAAATATCAAAATATCTATAGTTCGTGCCAAATTGAGGGTCAATTTTTTTATAATTAAAAAAAAAAAAAACGAACAAAAAAATTTTTTGATAGAACAATGAAGAACAGTTAACGAACAGTTGATAGAGCCAAAAAAAAGTGCAAAAAAATTAATTTCCCCCCGCCAACTTAAGAGAGCCCTTCACCTGTACTCGACATGACCGTTCCGCTTTTATTTCCTCACTTTTATCCATTAAAATTTCTTTTCCTACTTCAATTTCTGTCCTTGTATCTAATATAAATATTGATGTAGATATATAGAATTTTAGCCAGTTTTGTTTTTCATAACAATATAAAATTATAACCATTTATGTACTTATATAATAAATTTATCTGATCCTTTTCCAAATTTCGCTCCAATTTCTAATACAATAAAATAATCACTTCTAATAACGCTCTTCCTAACTTTTTTGCATGGCTGACGCACAAACCGTGCAGGCCAAGAAAGGGAAAAAAAACATATATTCAGCCATGACAGGGCCTTAGTCAAGATGCTTTAACAGTAGTGTATGTAGAACGTCAAAAACTAAATTTGTATGAAAACTTTTCGACACGAACTGTCATTTCCATACAAATTAAGTTTTCGACTTTCTACATACACTACTGTTAAGGCATCTTGACTAAGGCCCCAGGTGGTCGGAGTGATACCACAGGAAGCGGAAACCATAGATAATATTAAGTCATAGATAGATACGTAACACTTACAAGAGACTCATGTGCTACATGATCGAAACCTTTACTTGGTATAGTGAAGACTGTTTTTTTGTAAGAAAAACAGTAAAGGTATACGTGGAGGTGGTGAACCAGGGAATAATGTATTTCCACCAGGAAGACATTTACTTGGGAGAAAGGATACAATATCCGCAAATGATTTAGAAATGGTGGGATGTAATTTTGACGCTTTAACATAAGATAAGCTATTCTCTGCCATTGTTACTTCAATATTTGTTTGTCTCACATACTCTGGGCACTTTTTGCTTGAAGCAAAGTGCAGCCCAGAGCATGAGCAGCAAGAACCATGATCTTCCTCCACATTACAAGTATCTCCAGTGTGGTCAGGGCTAACATCTGGGCTTTGACCTGCATTGGACCTTGGTGTGCCCAAAGCGGCAACAATTAAAGCACTGAATAGTCGGATATATATATAATTTAACAGGCATACGTTATAACACATAAATACACGTTTAGGCAAAACTTGTCCATCAAATGTAAACACAACTGTTTGCGAAGGTTTCCATGTAGGTGTGTTGTTTACCATGACTTTATAGTTAAGTCTCCTGAGTTTCAGAATTTCTCCACATCCAATGGGTACATTAGTGTTCTCCATAATATCCTCAGGAGACCACTCGCTTGGGACTCCCTTAACTAAACCCATCCTTGTAATAATAAAAGTTGGGATAAAAGCCTTCATGTTGTTAGCAGGTAAGCAGTTTGAAGTGATAAAGCTGTTAGCGTCTGTGTAATTATTAAAAGATAGTGTCATTTTATTTCTACCAATACGTTTTAAGCTTCCATTTATAATATTTTTAAAAAGATAATTTTTAAAAAATCTGCCCAAACAACTGGGTGTAAAGTTCAAAACTGTTACCCGTCTAAAGTTAAATTTTGTAGAGCACAAATTGAGCTGGAAGAGGTGGCGGTGCCTGCTCCGCCGCCTCCTTTGCCCTCTCCTCCGCCGTCGGAGAGAAGAAGAAAGAGAAGAAGGAGAAGTCGGGGACTCTAAGAGAAGTAGATCCACATGGTAAGAGCCAGTTTTTTTCTAAATATATAGACTACATTATTTTTTTTTATGTCGGTTAAAAGAGACATCATGAATGATTTCACAATAAGTTCTTTTTCGATCGATTTTTCTCTGACTTTGCAAATCTTACAACCACAAAGGTCTTTTCGGTTTTTTATAACCGATTTTCGTGATAATTTTTAGATACAGAGATTACCACCCCCCTACAGTCTCACAATCTTTACCTTTTTATAGAATATTAGTATAAATCTATATAATTACTGTACAACTTAATTTAAAATAATTTCAATTAACATTCTTAGAGTTATATAAATATGCTGTTTTTGCAAAGGCCAAGAACAAAAGTTTCTGACGTTTTAACACGTTCGCTGCATTACGAGATCTATCAGATCTCTTGCAGGACTTTTGTATTGTGCGTTGAACATAATCGTGTTTT